TATATCTTCCACCTGGCGTCGGTTTTCCATTGGAAGACATGAGACGTTAGTGCATGAGTTGCCTCCACCATGTCTTCTTTTAGGCGACTTCAACGCTCATCACACACCGCGTGGGGCTGTGATAGCACGAACACCCGCGGAAGGATGTGCGAACATTTTATCCGTGACTCGTCACTGTGTATTTTAAACACAGGGACTCGTACTCATTTACACTGCCGTCTGGTCAGACTTCCGCGCTTGACCTGCGTCTTTCTAGTCCCGAGCTGGTGGAGAGCCTCGAGTGGTCTGTGGCAGATGATCCAATGGGCAGCGATCACTTCCCAGTGTGGCTTCGATTCCAATAAGAGGAACGTTGGGTGTAAGACCACGACGTTGGAATTTAAAAAAGGCTGACTGGAGAGAGTTTGAGGCTCGACTGGAGACATTATGTCAGACCGGAGGTGTGAGGGTGGCACCCTCTATTGAGGATTTTACTCACAGACTTCTAGATTGCGCTAGCGATTACATCCCGCGCACTTCTGGATTTCCTCGTCGCACTCCTGTGCCGTGGTGGACGGAGAAGTGTCGTGACGCAATTCGCGCACGCAAACGTGCTTTCCGAGCTTTTGAACGCCAGAAGTAGCTTGGAGAATTTAGTAGCCTTTAAGAAAGCCAGGGCTTTCGCCCGCCGTACGATAAAAGAAGCGAAACGTGAATCCTGGCGTATGTACATAAGCACGCTCAACCGATTCACACCAACTTCGCAGGTGTGGGCTCGGATCAAACGTATCTCCGGGCAGTTTTTCATCCGTGCCACTTCCTGTGTTACATGTTAACGGCCAGGTAGTGACTCATCCGTTGGATTGTGGCTAACGGGATCGCCCGAGCACTCTCCCACCGTAGCGAAGGTGCAAACATGAGCCCACAGTTTTTACGGCAAAGAGCACAATCCGAAAAAAACCGTAGTGAACTTTTCTACAAGGCAACCACAGGCGTACAATGAGCTCTTCACTTTGGTGGAGCTGCATTCGGCAATCGCAAAGCTTCGTAGTGTATCGGAAGGCCCTGATAACGTTCACAATGAGATGCTCCGACATCTGCCACCGTGTGCACGTCGTGTAGGATTGGCGGCCTTCAACAGGGTGTGGTCAAGAGGTGAGTTCCCTCCGGCCTGGCGGGAAGCTGTTGTGGTACCCATTTTAATACCGGGAAAGAGTGGGAGGTCCCTCTTCATCACCGACCCATTTCACTGACGTCATCACTGTCCAAGGTCATGGAAAGGATGGTAAACGTTCGACTCACCTGATTTTTGGAGAACCACGATATTTTTAGTAACTCACAGTGCGGGTTTAGGAAAAAACCGCAGTCCGGTGGACCACTTCTTAGCCTTGGACACTACGATTCGTAAGGTGTTTCAAGAAAGGCTCATATGGGAACAGTATTCTTTGACATTGAAGCGGCCTATGACACCACATGGCGCCATGGTATTTAATGTGGTATTGGTATTTAAATATGGTATACGTGGCCATATGGGGTGCTTTTCTCCAAAGGTTTTTAGCCAAACGATACTTCCGTGTTCGGGTCGGCAACGTCCTCTCCGACAGGTACGAACAAATAAACGGCGTGCCCCAGGCGGCGTTTAAGTGTTGCACTGTTTCGCAGTTATGATAAATGATATTTGTGATGTGCTCCCACAGTCGGTCGGACGTGCCCTTTTTGTTGACGATTTTACTATTTGGACCAGTGCAGCGAGAGCAACCAGCGATGGAGCGGCGTCTCCAGCTGGCTGTGGACCCGCGTTTGAAAGATGGGGTGACATGAACGGGTTTCGTTTTTCAGGCGACAAGACCGTTGCGATGCATTTTTGTCGTCGCCAGCGATGTGATGATCTGAGCATCCGTCTATATGGTCGCTCTATTCCAAATAAGGCCGTGGCCAGGTATCTTGGGATACACTTTGACCGCCGCCTTACATATAACGCACATCTTAAAATGTTACGCGATCGATGCTTTAAATCTCTCAACATACTAAAGTGTGTGTCTCGCACATCGTATATGGGGCAGACAGAAGCACGCTTATGCTTTATATCGTTCCCTCGTCCGCTCCAAACTGGATTATGCATGCTTTGTTTATGATGGCGCGTCTGAATCCAGCAAGCGTGTTCTTGATACCGTCCACCCATACTGCCATTTCGCATTGCTACTGGGGCGTTTCGCACATCACCTTCCGTCAGCCTTTTAACGCAGGCACACGAACCACCCACTTTCGACGAGGAGAAAATGCTTGGCATGCGTTATGCCTTGAAGCTGCGGCAGTTCCCACTTCACACCGACATATTCTGCAATATTTTCGCGGTTTGCAGTAAGCTCTCTTCGTCATGGGCCGCAGCAGCACGCTTTAACTTTCGGTTCCCGAATGAGAGCGTTATTGCTTGAGAGCGGAATTCCTGTTCGGGGTGTAAGGCAAGTAAGCCGCCTGGCTTCTCCTCCTTGGCAAATGACCACACCCTTCATTGACACCATCGCTTACGGAAATTAGGAAAAAAGACGTCACACCACACCTATTGAGATCCAGGGCAGTTGAGCTTTGGCGTGTTATGAAGGATATACCCCTGACATACACAGACGGATCCAAAACCTCGGATGGCGTGGGTTGTGCTTTCGTTAGCGGGTCCGTCACTCGATCGTTCTCGTCACTGGCCCACTCGTCAGTTTTTACGGCGGAATTAGTTGCAATCACCAAGGCGATATGTTTCATCGAAGTGGGTGAAGAATCTTCACACGCCATTTTTACAGATTCACTGAGCAGTCTCTCTCTGCACTGAAGTCTTTTTATCCATCATGTCCCCTTTACAGGACATTTTATCACGCCTGACACAATTGAATCGGGTTGGAAAGAGAGTTGCACTATGCTGGATCCCTAGTCACGTCGGTATCGTGGGCAACGAACTGGCTGATGCCGCTGCTAAGCGAGCAGCGGTAGCACCATATACCCGGTTTTTGCCTATCCCTGCCAGAGATTTTTACCCGGCAGTCAAGACCTTCCTGAGAAGCAGATTGCAGCGCTGTTGGGACCAGGTGGGGGGCAATAAGCTCAGGGCAATAAAGACAGAGTTGGGCTTGTGGTCGTCATGCTCTCGCAGTGTGCGGTGGGAAGAGGTGGTTTTATGCAGACTGCGCATTGGGCATACCTATGCCACCCATGGCCATCTGTTACATGGAGCCGACAGACCCCTATGCCAGCGGTGTGGTGCCGTCCTGACTGTCCATCATGTCATTATATCATGTCCATGCCTCTTCGAAGAACGACGACGTCACTTTGGTTCACAGGCTTCGACCCTGACGATAAACGATGTGCTTGGTGACAGTTCCTCCTTTCTTGGTCCCACACAGCTCTTTTCGTTTTTAAAAGATATTGACTTTCAAGTCATTTTCACACCGTACTAATTAAGTAACAGCATAGTTATGGGCGCAAAATGACCACTGCAGTCGACGCGCCGAAACTCCAATAACAACAAGAACAAATGCCTACACCACGGCAAACGGCGCGCAGGCTCGTGCACGTCCGGCGACCAAGAACACCATATCTCTGTTGCCTACACCACGACAAACGGCGCGCAGGCTCGTGCATGTCCGGCGACAACAAGAGCAGCATATCTCTGTTGCACTGCACCACGACAACGCTGCGCGCAGGCTCGCGCACGTCCGGCGACCAAGAACAGCATATCTCTGTTGCCCTGCAACAACGACAACGGGCGCGCAGGCTCGGCGCACGTACCGGCGACAAGAGCAACATATCTCTGTTGCTTGCACCACGACAAACGTGCGCAGAGTCGTGGCATTTAGGATATTCGGACGTTCCACGACCAGAACGGAATTTGCGCATCCGCCAGACGTGCGAACTGAAGCGTTCTTCTCTGAACTGTCGTTCAGTGGCAACCAATGAAACTAGGGGCGGTACCACGCTGCGCTCACTGCTTGGAAACAGCCGCTCTCCGATCGTGCCGTCAGCTTGTTGGCCCTTTGGTCCCGCTAGAGCCGCCGGCAGACCGTTCTGGAGCGAGGTCGACGCCAATCAAGACAGATCCTTTACGGTGCGTGTCCGTTCCAGTCAATTGCCATCAGCTTCGCTACAGACGCCGAAATTCGCCAGCTTTGAATGTATATATTCACATCGGTCGGCGTCCGAGGCGATGAACTGCGGAGTCTGCATTGGGCTTTGCGGCTGGCATGCCGACGCTCGAGGTCATCTGGAGCACCGCTAAAGGATGCCGCTAAATGATAAGCGTACCTCCGCAGGAGCAACCGGCTTCGGTCGGTGTAGGGGACTAGCGCCCCCTCGGGTCCCAGCTCGGTAACGGGTGGACAGCGCAAGCTGTTCCTCTCAGGGCGTAGCGACCCTGCCGGCACGTGAGCTCCTGCTCCTTGTCCTGCCCGCTCCTTTCCCATTACCCTGTTTCCCGCATCCAGCCCTATCACCACCCCTCATCCTCGTTTATCGGGTCGCCGTGCCCCCTCGCCGCGTCCCCGGGTTGATCGGATCCTGGTGGCTGAGGGGCGCATCGTGCGGGTTAGTCACGGCGCGTCCCGACATTCCACTTTGGCCAATCCCCCAGTTGGACTCCGAGGTGGGTGGGGAGCCCCGGTGCGGAATGCTTGCTAAAAATCGCATGGCTTCCTCAAAACCCAACAAATACCCGGCCCCCGAAAGGAGGCCGGACAGCGCTGAAGCCCGGGTGCTTGGGGGATTCTGTCCCCCTTTGCCCTCGGATCCTGATCTTCTCCAGCGGAGATGTAAACCTCTCCGCCCTGTCACCGTTTCCAACGACTCAACGGCTGTGACAAGTTTGGAGACATCACGGGGTGTGACAAGCTGGGGGATGGCAACAGTGAGGTAGAGTTCGCCAGTGGTCTGGAGGCTAAGGGTGCATTAGAAGCAAAGGAGTTCATTTGCAGTATTCGTGATGAGAACGGGAAACATGACAAAAACCGTGGCTTTGACAGTAACACCTCGGCCGACAGGGAGTCGCCGGAGCGGCTGGTTTCCCCAGAGCGGCCGGCACCGGACAGCGGGCTGGGCCAGCTGCCGGCTGCCAGCCACGCGCCACCTGCAGTGCTGTACGCCAACTGCGGCCACTTGCACGGCCGACCCGTCTGGACCGTGCTCGGAGTCAGGGTCAGGTGAGATGTGGTTGGGTGTGTGTGTGGGGGGGGGGGGGGGGGGGGAAGGGGCAAGAGCCGGAGACAACGTCGGCGCCACCGGGACTTGATTTCCGTGGCCAGTGTAGGGCAGTGATGCCGACCGGCAGCGGTGCCATCGGCGCCCTACGGGCCTGTCCGCCCGCGCTGGCACTGATGTCGGAGCTGAGCGCGGGGGACATGGAATGGAGCTGCTGCCTTTCTCCGCACGCTCATCGTGGAGGGAAACGGGTCTCAACACACCTGGTCAGCCGGGACGGGGGCAAACGGGGCATCCGCACGCGCGTGGACAACACGTGAAGTCGACCGCTCCCGCGCGGTGGTTGGTGACCATAAGGGGATGCTTGTTCACACTCTGGAAGTGCCGATGGCCGCGCACCGCTCAGCGCGTACGGCGAGCCATCATTATATGCCCTTATGTAGGATCAGCGACATTGTAAGCTTTCAATGCCACTCAAGCCAACCCGGCGTCGTAATCCCATGTGCCCATCTCCACTTCAGGGCAACTGAAGTGATTTTGACCGCGCGACACGATCATGCGCTCCGATCTTAATCCTTGTTAACTCACGTCCAGTTTGGGATGCGCCAGTCGAATTTATAGTTTGTTGCAGCCATCCGTCCCATCAAGAAAGATCAAAGTTGTTCATTGAAAGCTATGATCAGTTTTTCTATGGCCCGTCCTTTGAAATTATCAAATTTTTAAGAAAAAAACAGAAAGAAATCCCGTTGTCTCTAACCTTGTTAACATATACTCCCAAGCTATAACTATAATGATGAACGGTAAGGCCAGAAATGTCCAATGATTGGCAATAGTGCGCAACTGAATGTGTTTTGTGCGTCGTCGGTTTTTTTCATTTCACCAATAAAAAGTGTGTATTCGGATTTAGCCTGCTTCAAAGCATCGAGCGGAGGCTGGTAAACTACGACCCAAGAATAATAAATTGAAAACAAGAGCAACTCCGCTGCCAGTACGCTGCTGATTTAGCGGGGCGTGTTGCCGCGAATCCTAGTGTAGATTTCAGGAACACCCGCTGTCCGCCTGAGGCTGGGCCAGCCTAGTTTTGGGCGCCGGGCCTGCAAGGTCGGGGCGACTTCCGATACTGACATAATGCACTGTGGCCGGACAGGGGCAGATTGGCACCGCTGTCCCAGCTGTGGGCTTCGGTACTGACGTACTGCACTGCGTGGCCGGACAGGGGCAGAGGGGTACCGCTGTCCCAGCTGTGGGCTTCGGTACTGACGTACTGCACTGCATGGCCGGGCAGGGTCAGAGGGGTACCGCTGTCCCAGCTGTGGGCTTCCAGTACTGACGTACTGCCCTGCATGGCCGGGCAGGGTCAGAGGGGTTACCGCTGTCTCAGCTGTGGGCTTCCAGTACTGACGTACTGACACTGCGTGGCCGGACGGGGCAGAAGGGGTACCAGGCTGTCCCAGTTGTGGGCTTCCGGTACTGCCGTTTCGTACTGTACTGGCGGGGCAGAGTGGCATCGCTATCCCAGCGATGGGCCTGGGCCGGGCGGGTGCTGCGATGTGACCACCGCCAGTATTGCGATGGTGAGGAGACAGTGGACCTGGTGACGAACTTTCGCCCAATGCTTGAAGATTATTCACGTATCCATGAATTATTAGCTTAACCGTTGTTGGAACCAACGTGCTCTCTGATTGCGGTGTATTGCCTGGACACCGACCCTTGGTCCAAATGGTTTTAACCAGAGACAAAACTTTTTCCAAAATGTAAGCCTGCTGCCCGGCCCGCCCTGGCGAGCTACAGATCTAGCCTGCAAAATGCCCTGTGCTACAGTATTGATCCGGCAATAATCCGTAAGTACGGAAGTGATTGCAATGTGCATGTTGGCAGGCCTACACATAAAGAGTGCACAAAATGACATGTCAGTGTCATTCAATACACAACACTGTTTGGTTGACAACAGTGATGCGGTTTAGAGGGTAGTGATGGAGAACCAGGACCATGTAATTTATTTTGTACCGAAGTACATTTTAATCGCTTTTGATGCCAGTATCCATCTACACATGAGAAGGTGGATGGTTGAGTTTATAATGGGTCTTCACCAAAATATATCAAAGATTTCATCTTCTCACCTCATTTCAATAGACTACGGTCATGTCTTCTAAAATTGCATGCATCAATGTAAGCTGTTTGCGTCATGTAGAGGTTTGCACTGAGTAGAAAAATGTTGATGTCTCAATTCATGGGGAGTGTCTCCACTTCATTACACTACACATAACTGCAAATTCGCCAAACGCCGCAAAGCACCATTCCAGTTTGCTATCCTGAAGTGGGCACACCACGCAACAACACAGAATAGGTACCACATAGCAGCACTGAACTTGTCCGCATGTCCCCCTTGTGGGATGGACCCCATGGTCCATCCCACAACTATCGCCGTGCCGTTTGCGTTGTGTCGTGTACGTGCAAGCACATTATATGCATTCACCACTCAAGTGGCATCATATGCATTTACCCCTGAAGTGGCGTCATATGCATTTATCACTCACGTGACGTCGTATACATTCATTCAGGTGACATCACATGCATTAAACAATGCCACAAAAACGTAGGATAGTGGCTAAATTCTGCAAACAAAGTCAGTTGTTTTCGTCGTCAAGAAATCGTCAGGAAACATATGAGAATCGTGTCCAGGACCTCTTTACAGATCATTGTTTGACAGACTTGCTTTGAAATATTGGGAGGGATGAAAAACAAAGTGGAACAAAAAGCCTTAACGAGACAGATATGTTAAAAATTGCAGTAAGGCTGAAACGTGTTATATGTAAGTGACTTTGTTATCGTGGTCGGTAGCTGTGCGCGCTTTAGGAATACGTAGACAAACTCGTTGTGTCGCGCACTTTGCGCCAGTAGCTGTGCGCTGCATTGACGAGTAAGCAAGGCTGGGGCAATAAAAGGCATACAGTTTCCCATTCATTTCGGTTAGCATTGATAATGGCTGTGAGGCATGGTTTTTTATGAAACAAGAAAGTTTGAGTACACTCCACCTTCACAATACCAGTCAAATGCAGTGTGTGCCTGTGATTTGTGACACAAAGCTTTAGAAATTCGTCTTGCTATTCTTGAGTTTTTCAGAGAGATGTTTACTTTAAGTTATTCCATTTGTGTAACTTGGTTACTCGTGTCATCACTGATGTTCTACTCTTAAAAGGAAATTGAAATTATTCTTTCAGATCGGTGAAAATTATTTTCATAGTGTGTTCTGTCTAGTGTCTCACCCTCGGTTTGGGTGATTCTAAAACTTGAATAACAAAAATTGCATTATTTTACCCTGGTTAAAATTTTTGGCGGCACAAAAGAGGCCCGCCCAGTTCGTTCCATAATTCGAGCAAAAGACCCGCCAAGGTCTGGCCCATAGCTCGGCCAAAAAGCCTGCCAAGTCTGGGCCCATAACTCGGGCCAAAAGCCCGCGGGTTTTTGTCAAAGTCAGATGGTGGCGTGTTGGGCGGGTGGGAAAGTTTACGTGTTAAAGTATGAGCCATGCGATAAATTGTCATCGGCATATGTTTCAACTATTTCGTAAAGTTGCATGTCAGGCAGTGCCAGACATGGATGGGCGCGAGTATATGTTCCCCTTCCTTCGTCTTGGAGAAATTTCGACGTCTCAGGCGTGATATGCAAGTCCGCGCGGTGTCGCCTCGTGCCTACGTGTGTCACCCTTGAAATCGCCAATCAGTTTATTTTCTGAAATAAGTTCTGGCGCTGAATTGGAAGTCTAGTTGGACATTTCTATGCCACGGTGACGGGTAGAGCGAATCAGCATTTCTTGTATTGAGTGCGTGTGCGTGTCATCGATGTTGCATTGCTATTCGCGGGCGATTTTCTAGTCGGGGTCCGTTGCCATTTGGTGATGGGGATCTAACGCTGCCATCCGTAAAACCGCGCCTGAAGGAGTCCTGGTGATCCGTAATCTATGGCTCGTGCCGTCCGGACAGTCCTAGGCTCATGTCATCTGCAGTGAGAGCGCACACAGAGTTGGACCCTCAAAGGACGTTGTTCGCCGCGGGCTCCACATCGATTTCAGGTTGTTTAGGTCTGAGCACGACGACGGTGTTTTCCCAGGTTCCTAGGTGCAGATGCTATCGGCTAGTCCATTTGGTGTCTAAGATATTGACCGCGATGCGATCCATCTTCCTGGAACATCTAATACTTTGCATTATCATACTGGCATGGTTATAATTAAAGCAAAGTCTGTTCTCGCACAGTCGTGCTGCGTTTCGCCTGATTCCTGGTTCACGTCAGGCCAACCAGAGGGTCAATTGAATCAAGGCATAGCTACCAGATAAATCTACCCCGTCATCGCATCATGTTTGAGCATGCTCGCACAGCTCCGTGACGTTGACGCAGCTTTATAAAGCTGCGTATCGGATTACTCGTGTGCAATGTTTGTAAAACCTCGTGCAGAAACTTCGCATCACAACTCTTCGCACGCAAAGCGTTGCGCGCAAGTCACCTTGTTGGAAATCCTTATGTGCAGATCCTCGTGCGCAAATGTTCGTATCCGCCAGCTGCTTATCTGCTATTCTTGATATCCGCAAAATATCCTGCTCGCAGTTATTCGCATCACTATCCTGTAAAACGCATCTCTTTTTTCGCGTTCCTTCGCACGCATGCCGTCATGCACGCATTTATCCGTGACGTAATGCTTCCCAAAACGTGATTGTCCCTGACGCACACATTTTCGTACAACGCAGTTTTTGTATATGACGTCGTGTTGGATTTCTTCGTGCACTTCTTTCTTTTGCGTCACTTTGTTGTTGAACTTACCCCCCTTGTATGGCATAGTTGGCAGTAAAAATACAAACGTTGGCATTTCCATAATATTGCCCTATTGCCCACTTCCGGCGTTCGTACCCGCTATTGG